TGGCTCAGGTTTTGCCCTCCGTTGCCCAACGGAGAGCCCAGGAAGCAGAAAACCCAGCCGCGCCCCTTGCCCTTCCTCGAGGGCTTGTTGCGCGCACGAGGGTGTTGGCCCCGGACCCCAGCTCAGTGGGGGAGCTTCCCTCCATCCCGACTTGAGGTGGCCCACCAGGTGCCCCTGTGAAGGTCCGGTACTCAGCCCTCCCTGGGTCTCACGGCCGTGTGTGTGTGTGTGTGTCTGAGCGGGTGTCTCCCGGCTGCCGTGGCCACCCTTGACGTGACTTTCTTTTTTTCTCCGTGTTTCCTGCCCCACAAAGCCCCCAGCTAAGTGAAGGCCCTCTGCCACCACCTTGCCTCGGAGGCCGGTCACCTGAGCTTCAAGAAGGGCGACGTCCTGCAGGTCATGGGCAAAGTCGATGCGGACTGGCTGCGGTGCAGTCGTGGGGCCGAGAGCGGGCTAGTGCCCATCATGTACGTCACCCACCGGGAGGACGAGGACTACTGACTGGCTGACCGGGGGGCTGCCCGCTCTGGACAGGGAAGCTCGGACCCCCCGAGCCCAGCCGGCCAGCGGACGAGATCCCGGCGGGCAGCAGGACGGAAGGACGGCCTTGCTCTCCTGCCCTCGGGCTCCTGGTTGCGCAGGGAACTCTGTCGCTGTAGCTCTTCTCTTTCCGACCAACCCCTTCTTCCTCAGGGGCCGCCCCCTCATTCCTGGGGGGCTGGGGGCTCTCCTCCTGTTGCCAAGTGTGACCACCATGCATGCCTCCTCCATTGCCTTCCTCCTCCTTCTCTACCGGGGAGCCCTCCTTGGACCATTTCCATCCTCCTGGAGACTTTGGCCCCTGCATGCCACCTGCCACCCCGGACATTGCTGGGACTCTTGAGGCGCAGGCAGTCCAGACCCCGAGCCCTCCTTGGCATGGGCTTCCACCAGGCTCTGATCCCAGCATATCTTTATCCCTCTTCCGTCAGAGTGGGTGGGTGGGCCACCCCGCTCCGGGCCATTGCAGGTGGATGGTCTGGAAGCCCTGGGCTGGGGGTGTCCCTTGGAAGTGCGGGTGAATGGAGGCGAAGGGCACCTTGAGGTTCCCGCCCAGGGGCCGACGCAGGAGGGGGTGCCCGTGCTGCTGGGGTCAGGGGTCAAAGGCAGGTGAGACAAGCGCAGCACCTCCAGGACCCTTGGCTCCAATGAGGAGGAGGAAGGGGGGTGACAGTCTCCCCCAAGCAGGGGGACGAGTCCTTTGGCCTTGGTGGGTATTGGGCTTTGGGGTGGGATGGGGAGGGGGGACTGGTGGTGTTAGAAGTAGCTTATCTCTGGGAATCACCCCCAGAGGGGAAGAGGGAATGGGGTGGCCTTGCTGGAGAGGGGGAGGGAGGGGGCAGTGCTCCCAACCACAGGGGACCACCTGCTCACGTCCTGGGCCACAGGATTTCAGTGGACGTCATGGCACAGAAGAGATCGGGGGGGGGAATCCCCAGGCACAAGCAGGGCAGTGCTGGCAAAACTGCCTGCCACAAATTGGGGACGGGGGCTAGAAACCTCACTGTCCCCTTTCTGCGCTGTCTTCTCCCTGAGTTTGTGTGTGTGTGTGTGTGTGTGTGTGTGTGTGTGAGAGAGAGAGAGAGAGAGATGGGCAGGAGGATGGCCTGGCCTCCATGTCCTTCCCTGACCTGTCGTGCAGCCAGTGTGTGTGTGTGTGTGTTGGGGGGGCGTTATGATCGCAAAGACCTGACAGTATTTCGGGGTGGGAGGTGGGGGGCTTGGCTGGGGTCTTCTGGCCTTTTCCACTCAGAGGGAAGAGGTTTCCTCCTGTGTGTACATAACAGCTCTTGCAGAAGTGGCGCTGTATTTAATTTGTACTTCTGGCATTAGAACAGGGTGTCTTGCCTTTATTTATTTCTTTATTTATGATGCATATTAATTAATAAAAGAGGTGCTGATTAAAAGCTGCCCTCTACAGCGGGGACTGGCAGTGACTTCCCGAGTGGGCCCTGGGTGTGTGCTCTGGGTGGTGTTTGACGGCTCAACCATCCGGCTCAGAGTTGCGCGAACGGTCCTGAGGGCGTCACGACAGCAGCCTTTCCCTGGGGCCATCTCTTGCTTCACACTCGCCTGCTTCCTGTACCGTTTGGGGACGACCCCCCCCCAAGAGCACACACACACACACACACACACACACACACACACACACACACACACACACACACCGATGCTCATTCTCTTTAAACATCAGGAGGAGGAGCTGATACCAGCCCTCCTGCTGGTGCCAGCCGGCTGGGAGGAGGAGGAGGGCCAGCCTCTCCAGGGGCTGTGCGCTCTCCACTTCCTGGATGTGCCCCTTTGTGGGGTGAAGGGGTGGGAGTGTGGCAGTGAGGCTGAGAGCAATGCCACGACAAGCCTGGGCACCTAGCAGGGCCACCCAAGGTGGAGCAGCCATAGCGGACGAAGAGGCACCCATCCTCGTCAAGGCAGCTCCCGGGCAGCAGCATAGCTGAAGGTGACACTGGCAGAAGGAGCAATGGGGGTGACACTCAAGCTGACTTTAGTTAATACTGCACAGGAGGTGGCAATGGTAAACCCCTGCTTGAAATTTCCTTGCCAAGAAAGCCCTATGGTCAGATAATCTAAAATGAAACAAGAGACAGGGCTGGAAGATGAGGCTCCCAGGTGGGAAAGCACTGAATCAGCTACTGGGGAGGAGCAAAGTACTGTACAAATAGCTCTATTGCTAATGATGCAATTAGATTAAAGCCAAAAAGTACAAATAGCTCTATTGCTAATGATGCCATTAGATTAAAGCCAAAAGGCCATATAGTGGCTGACATGCACAGAGGGGAAAGGACAGTCTGATGCTACACAGAATGTACAACTGGACCATGGAATGTGAAGAGTATGAATCAAGGTGAATGAAACTGTAAAGCATGAAATGGAACTTACAAATACTGCAGTGCTTGGCATCAGTGAAGTGGACTGGAATGGGACATTTTCAATATGTTCTACTCTGGAAATGAGCTGTTTTAAATGTGGGGATGATTAGGGTCTTTTGCAAACCCTTTGCCCAGACTCCCTCAAATTTGCCAAAGAGCAAGGGCAGATGGTCTCCTACATTTGTGCCAAACATAATGCTGATCTGAAGTCCAGTTTCAAAGTAATAGTTTTTGTTGGCGCTGCCCCCATTTTTTTTACATTTTTTAAAAATTTCCTTGTAGGATATTCAATATTGCTGCGTTGCACAATGCGCTGGCTCCCGGATGTAACACACCAAAGAATTTCAGAAGAAAAACAGTCTATGCTTTCTAGACTACAGCAAAGCTTTTGACTGTGTAGATCAGGACAACAACGGATTGTTTTGGAAGAAATCAGTGTGCCTCAGAAGTTGATTGCCCTGATGTGTAACTTGTATTGTGGACAAGAAGCTACGACAGAACATGGAGAGACAGAATGGTTTCTTAGAGGGAAAGGTGTTAGATTAGGACGCATTTTATCCCCATATCTGTTCAGTCTGTACACAGAACCTTATCATACGGAAAGCCACACTAGATTCAGGTGAAGGTGGAGTGAAAATTGGTGGAAGAAATAATAGGTATTAAAATTATGCAGATGACACCATCTGACAGGTGGAAAGCGGCAATGACTGGAAATGACTTCTAGTGAAAATGAAAGAACAAAGTGCCAAAGCAGGATTGTAGTTCAAAATTATGGTAAAGGTAAAAAGGTAAAGGTTCCCCTTGACAGCTTTTTTTTTTTGTCCAGTCGTGTCCGACCCTAGGGGGCGGCGCTCATCCCGCTCTTCAAGCCATAGAGCCAGCGTTTTGTCTGAAGACAATCTTTCCGTGGTCACATGGCCAGTGTGATTTAGACACGGAACGCTGTTTACCTTCCCACCGAGATGGTACCTATTTATCTACTCGCATTTGCATGCTTTCGAACCGCTAGGTTGGCGGGAGCTGGGACAAGCGATGGGCGCTCACTCCGTCGCGTGGATTCGATCTTACGACTGCTTGGTCTTCTGACCCTGCAGCCCAGGCTTCTGCGGTTTAGCCCACAGCGCCACCACGTCCCTTTGTTGAAACTGACTACAGACAAAATACACAACTTTGATGCTCACAATGAAGTAATTGAAATAGTTACAGATTGTGTATACCTTGGTTCAGTTATCAATTCAAATAGAGACTGCAGCCAAGAAATTAGAAGAGGACAGAGACTCGGAAGGGCAGCTATGAAGAAACTAAACGAGATCATCAAGTATGAAAGCTGGATTGTGAAGAAAACTGACGGGGGGGGGGGGACGATTCATTTGAAATGTGGTGGTCCTGGAAGAGAGCTTTGTGGATAACCCTGGACTGCCAAAAGGCGAACAAGTGGGTCCAATCCTGAACTATCTCTGGAGGCCAAAATGTTGAAACTGAGGCTGCCTTACTCGTACTTTGGGCCCATCCTGAGAAGGCAGGATTCTCTGGAAAAGACAATAATGCTGGGAAAGGAAGAAGGAGCAGGAGAAGAGGAAGACCCAATACAAGATGGACTGACTCCCTAAGGGCAACCCCAAGCTTGAGTTGGCAAGAACTGATTAGGACAGAACATTTTGAAGATTTCTCATTGATAGGGTGACCATAGGTCAGAGGCAGCTTGACAGCACATAACAACACTGCCCCTCCCATATCTAGATGTTTACAGAATGTCTTATTCCCCACAACTTTTTATCTACCCCTTTAATGGGTCAGCTACTTTTTCCTTGGAAACCTGACGCTCTTACTTCTGGAGAGGGAAAAGCCACGTTTAGGGTGTTTTCTACAAGGGATGCATCACATCAACCTGTTACTGCTTAGCTCAGTGAATACAAAAACTGAAGTGTTAAAATTTTTTAGCTGCTTTGTGTCTCTTCCAGTTCAGAGGCCTGTTTCATTCCAGCAGAGTTTAATCTCCTAGTCGTGTGATGATGCATTTACAAGCCACAGAGCAGAAAGTTTTCCCTTTCACCCTCCTTTTGCCTGGCAAACAGACGAAACGCCCGGCTTCGTAGTATTGGAAACGCTCGGCCCAGGTGGACTTGGGCTCAAGGGTCCAAGGTTGCTCTGCAGAATCCTTCCAGCGAGGCGGATCCAGCATCTCTCCAGCCACCTCCCTGTCTTCACGGCGGGTGACGTGGGCCCCCTCCCCGCGCCACCCGCATCCTGGGCCAATGCCGTGAGCTTCCATCAAGGCTGCCCCATCTGACCAGCTCTTTGCTTGCAAACATTCTGGCGGGTAAAGGGCCTCAGAAAAGCAGGGTGGCTATGGGGCTGGAAGGGGGTGGGGTGGGGGAGAGGGACCAGAAAGGCACCTGGCGCAGCCCCTGTCCCAAAGGCTGCTGTGGGGTGACCCTCCTTTCCCCAAAGGTTTGGCTTCCTTGCGGTTCTTCTCTGGTTTTGGGACTAGGCTGAGGGGTGCGAACTCTTCAGGCTGCCGTGGCACAAGCAGAGCCCTGTCAGAACAGACTGAAGTGCTCCAAAGGCTGCTGTGGGGCGACCCGCCTTTCCCCAAAGGTTTGGCTTCCTTGTGGTTCTTCTCTGGTTTTGGGACTAGGCTGAGGGGTGCGAACTCTTCAGGCTGCCGTGGCACAAGCAGAGCCGTGTCGGAACAGACTGAAGTGCTCCCCATGACCCCCCCACCCCCCACCCCAAAATGCCCACAGCAGCCCAGATGGAAAAGGGGAGGGCAACCGCCCCTCTGGCTTGTATGCCCAACGGCAGGCACACCAAGCCCTCCGGCCTCTCTCCTCCTACGCAGAGGGTGGGGAGATGGGAAAAGGGAAAGCCGAGAGATGGCGAGGGTTCCTCCATAACAGGCTCTTGCTACGGCAGCCCCTCCAGCGCCGGCGTCTTTCTCCAGAGTGCTGCGTCCCAGGGCATTCTGGGTAAGGTGGCCAGAGGTGCGGCCCAACTGGAACGTGTAACCTGCAAGGTGGAAAGCGCTGAGTTAGCTAGGTCCGTGCCACTTGCAGGCACTGCCTCCTCGGGAGTAGTGGGTGGACACGCCAAAGCCCCTAGCTGTGTTTTCAAGCACCTGCTCAATGGCCGTGATCCATAGGCCTCCCAATCCTCATTTCTCCTTTCTTTCTAAAAAGACCAGAATCCTCCGGAGTTATCTGCCTGCTGCTTTCTCAGTGTGCGTGCGTGCGTGCGTGCGTGCGTGGGCCGCGGTGTGAGCAGGGGCCCAGGTGGGGACGAGCGGCCTCCTTCCTTGCCTCCCTCTTTACAAGGCCACCTATAGCTGGACTGCCGCTGGCTTCCCCGTGGCATCTCAACCCTTGAAAGGGCTCACTTTCATCACCGAAACGGGAAAAGGGGCACAATTCTGCACAGGTGCGGCTGCTTTGCCTGCTACCCTTCTGTCCTTTGAATGGCTGGAGTTGTGAGCTGGCTGGGGCTTTGAGGGAGAAGTCAGTGGAGATGTTGAGGATTATACGGGTGAGGTGTGCCACTCATTCAAAACAGAGCAGATCAGAACGACGACAACACCAAAAAACCCCAACGCAGGATCCTTCTCCTCCTGGATCACAGCAGGATCTGACTATTGGCACTGGCTGAGTGGCCACCAGTTGGCCTTGCCAAGGTTTCGGGCCAGTCCTCTTCATCACCTCCGAACTGCAGAGCTGGAAGGGACCCTCTGGATCAGGGACGCCCACTGGGGGAATCGATCTCCCACCCTCTGGCACCCCAGCCAGAGGCCGAAATCACCAAGCCCTCCAGCGATGTCTTGCTGGCCCTCAGCAGAGATGCCGCCCTGCCCACAGCGCCATCCCCTTGCAGGGGAAAGGACGTTTGTCTCCCAGGGAAGGAGAGAGGCTTACCGGAGACCTTGTGGGAATGGACAAGGCTAAGCCTGGAGTCTGTTGAGGAGAGGGAGGAGGAGGAGGAGGATGGGAACCCACAGATGCCTGTGGAGCATCACAGCCCCCTCCATCCTCTGTCCATGCGACTCC